AACGTACCGTATTATGTTTTGCCCCCACAATAAAAACTACAGAGCTTTAATAAAAAAAAAAAAGCATTTTAATAATCTAAGACATATTATTAGGGGGGTATAGAACGACAACTGATATTAACATGCATTCTATACTGTTATATGAAACAATCGCAACATAATAGAACTTGACTGTACTTTTTTCCAATATAAATAACGAAAATGCACTAAATTGCATCTATCTATCTATCTATCTATCTATCTTACATATATATTAGTGCTGTCAAACGATTAATCGCATTCAAAATAAAAGTTTTTGTTTACATAATATGTGTGTGCACTGTGTATATTTATTATGTACATATAAATACACACACATACAACATATATTTTGAAAATATTTACATGTATATATTTATATTCATATAAATATATTTTATAAACGTAACATTTTTCTTAAATATATACATGCATGTGTGTGTATTTATATATACATAATAAATATACACAGTACACACACATATTATGTAAACAAAAACTTTTATTTTGAATGTGATTAATCGGTTGACAGCACTAATATATATATATGTGTGTGTGTGTGTGTATTTATATATATATATTATAACTATATATATATATATATTATATATATTTATATATAATATTATATTATATATAAATATATAATTCTTCTCAAAATGTCAATCATATTAACACCTCACTCAAAAAAGAAGAAGAAGCTATATTTGTTTTGCCAACCCATCATCTTTGAGAGCAGCACCAGTGAGAGAGCAGTGGCTGACTCAGCAGCACGTGACTGCCGGAAGTGACGTCACCACCCTGCGGTCACGCGACAGTAAACTGAAGGGTTAATTTTGGAGAATTACTAAGGCCAGGTAGGTGTTTGATTCAGGAGGATATTCTACAAGATTTGATCCTTATTTACGATTTATACAGCTTTTAATCTTAACACAAACGTATTGGTTACATTTCCCATATTTACGTTTGCTTTTAGTGTCACAATATTATATTAGTATACTTATTCTAATCATAGAAATGCTAAACAAACGAATGTCCATAGAGTCCTGAGCTGCGGTGAGGCTACAGCGCCCCCGTGTGGTCGCAAAGAGAACGCCATTAAAGACATTACTGGAGTCTTTCCACTGTGCCTTACACAATAACCGGAATAATGAACTCAGTAGACCAGCCCTTTAAAACACTGAAGTAATTAGCTGGAAGGGCACACTGTACCAAACACACCAGCTTGTATTCAACTAGAAATAACCTCTCTCCCAACAGCATTGAACCGCAAACATTCAAACAGTAAGTGTCTTGATGTACAAGAGTAACATGAAGAAGAAGAAACGATCTCCACAGGCAAAGTTACAACGTACAATTGCACAAAAGGCTGCAATCAAACAGCGCGCATCTGAAGTGTCTCTGAAGGAAATAATGCATTATTTATCGGCTTTAAGATATCGGCCAAATTTTCTTATCAGGCCGATACCGATAACAGAAAAAAATAGCATTTATCGGCCGATACCGATATGGTGGCCGATATATCGTGCATCCCTCCCTACAAGTAAGTACAATAATCATTCTCCAAACAGTTCAACTCAACAGATTTGCGACAACGAGGGGTTTTAGCGGACAAACCCGTACCTTTACCTTAAAAATGCCACCAGGGCTCTACAGTGCGACTATAAACATGTTTTAGGAGCACCAGTGCGCCTGACCCGATCAGCATCATACCGTTTTGAAGATGCTCTTGACTGAAGAACTTTTAATATGGTTGCTTTATACAGTGAAGTGTATATAGTGTTTAACTTTTATATTTGTTCATTCAATTTCTTGACTACTACTGCTAAATTCCTGAAAAATAACGCACTGCTTGTTTTATTTTATGAGTATTTGCAGGGGCGCCGCTAGCAATTTTGGGCCCCATGAAAGAATATGAGGTTGGGCCCCCTAACGCACCAACTACCGACTATATTGCCCAAAGTATTGGGACACAGCCTTCTAATGAACAGGTTTGACTACTTTAGTAATTTCCATGAGTACAAATCTTAATGTTTAAGCATACAATGATATTCTAGGGAATTGTGTGCTTCTAATTTTATACCAATAGACTGAACAGGACCCTTTTCTATTCTAACTCAACAATGCCTCAAAAAAAAAAAGATTTGCCTCAGATTTCAGGCTTTTGTTGGTGATTTTTAAGGGAGTTTGTAAATGTGATACTGATTTAATACAACAGTAAAATAGACAAGAAGTTAATATTAAGTGACTTACATTGTCTGACTATAACACTGTTGTCTGATTTTGCTCTAGTTCGTCGTCGAAAATAGTTTGAAACAAAGACACAGCGCATCTCCATTCAAACACAGTGGTGACTCGTTTATGAATGAACTGGTTTTTAAACGAATCTAGTGAGTCAGTGATTCATGATTACCCATTCATAAAGACAGTCACTTGATTCATTCCTGAATGATTCAGCTGTTCGAATGAATCAATTGAGTGAATGATTCAGTGATATAATCAGTAACTTGCCGCCACCTGCTGGCGGGTTGTTTCATTTTAAAAGTATCTTTTCAGTTATTTAAATCATTTAATATTTCTATATTTAAAATTGTATATTTAAAACATTAATATCATCATGGATTTAATTGCACTCATTCCACTTCTGAGCCTCATTAAATGTCTGAAAGTACACCAGGCCACTTCTGTGTTCTTCTGTGCCACCTCTACTAATTAATTGAGTTAATACTGATTTCATTTGATTGGTAACTTATATTTCTTATTCTGTCGTTTTAATTACAATTTTTAAAAAGCTTATAAAATATAATTTTTTTTAGAATTTGACAAAAGATAAAAAAAAAAATGAACGTTTGAGTTTACTTTCAATGCAATTGTCATGATCGTCATTTAAATTGTTCTTTTTTTCTTCTTCTCGTAATGTCTGTAAGGGTGGCAGAGGGACAGTGAGGAGGTGGTTTGTGGGTAAAATGATGTCCGTGATGCTCAGGTTAACAGTGTCCCACTGCCAGGCAAACGTTCATACTGAATATTTAGGCAACGCAGTGCCAATGTTTGCGTGAGGTCCAGACCGACCGTGGGGGTCAGAGCGGTCCGGTCTCGTTGCCCCTCTCCGGTTCATTAACTCTCTTGTGCGACTCTTCGTCGTCGACCCCGTGTCTGAGTCTCAGTGTTTCAGAGTGTCGCACTAGCGCGCTTGCCCTGGAAAACGCAGCTTTGAAGAACGACACGCTGTACAATTGACATGCAAGGCCAGACGACTAACAGATTAAAAAACAGGTAACAACAGGTTAAAAAAAGAAGAAAAAAAACAAAGAAAAAATAAACCTCAACAGACTGAGCCAGCAAAATGCATTATTTTCTACATTACACACACACACACACACACACGCACTCACTCACTCACTCACTCACTCGCTCTCGCTCTCTCTCTCTCTCTCAATCTTGCACCTCAATTCCAGTTTCATCATTACAGAGCCAATTGGGCTATAGGAATGACTACAAACCAAAAAATGAATGCTTGAAATACTAGTGGAAAAAATTCGGCCTGTTTAAATAACTGACCTTAGTACAATCCTTAAACATTTCCCTCCATTAGCAAGATAGAGCTCGCCTTCAGTGGTCCATCCAGAGCCCGTGGAGGCAACAGCATACATTCATACATAAACACAAACGTGAATCACACTCTTGTCTTCAATAGCCAAACTGAACGGCGCACTGCGATTAATTTTTACGTAAGAGGCAAAAAAAAGGGACCTAGAGCAATTTATGAGTGGTTTGTGGGTAAAATGATGTCCGTGATGCTCAGGTTAACAGTGTCCCACTGCCAGGCAAACGTTCATACTGAATATTTAGGCAACGCAGTGCCAATGTTTGCGCGAGGTCCAGACCGACCGTGGGGGTCAGAGCGGTCCGGTCTCGTTGCCCCTCTCCGGTTCATTAATTCTCTTGTGCGACTCTTCGTCGTCGACCCCGTGTCTGAGTCTCAGTGTTTCAGAGTGTCGCACTAGCGCGCTTGCCCTGGAAAACGCAGCTTTGAAGAACGACACGCTGTACAATTGACATGGAAGGAGGGAAGGAAGGGGGGAAACGGCGACGCTGGCCTCTATTGTGTGCTGGTCCCTTATAGGGTCATCGTCATCCCAAGCTGTGGCAGAATCTACGTTCCTCGTCCACAGTTCGTTTAGAGCAGGAAATAATAAAGAGATGTCTGTAAATCCACAATGGTGCCAGACGGTACAAATGGAAACACACTTGGAGCTCAAAGGGGCTCCGGTTCGCGTCCAGATGTCGAGCGATCCGGGAAAATGAGTCCAGTGGAACAGAAAAGAATGGGATGATGGGATAGAAGCAAGAGAGAGAAAGGTGGTGTTATAAAGGTGGAATGGAGCTGAGAAAGAAAAGAGGTAGAGGAAAAACAAAAGACCAATAGAGTATGAATGGAGACGAGAGGAGCGCATGAATCCATCTGGCAGTGAAGTCTGATGCAGCTGCTCATCCACTGGCTGGAGGATGACAACGGGAATGAGGGATGATGAGAAGACGAGTGCAGTTCCTCTCTTCCGACCTCTCTCTCTCTCTCCCCGGTGGGTGGGAACGGAGGGATGGTGGGAACTTGTGCTGGTCGCAGCAGCATCATACTGAATATTTAGGCAACGCAGTGCCAATGTTTGCGCGAGGTCCAGACCGACCGTGGGGGTCAGAGCGGTCCGGTCTCGTTGCCCCTCTCCGGTTCATTAATTCTCTTGTGCGACTCTTCGTCGTCGACCCCGTGTCTGAGTCTCAGTGTTTCAGAGTGTCGCACTAGCGCGCTTGCCCTGGAAAACGCAGCTTTGAAGAACGACACGCTGTACAATTGACATGCAAGGCCAGACGACTAACAGATTAAAAAACAGGTAACAACAGGTTAAAAAAAAAGAAGAAAAAAAACAAAGAAAAAATAAACCTCAACAGACTGAGCCAGCAAAATGCATTATTTTCTACATTACACACACACACACACACGCACTCACTCACTCACTCTCTCGCTCTCGCTCTCTCTCTCTCTCTCAATCTTGCACCTCAATTCCAGTTTCATCATTACAGAGCCAATTGGGCTATAGGAATGACTACAAACCAAAAAATTAATGCTTGAAATACTAGTGGAAAAAATTCGGCCTGTTTAAATAACTGACCTTAGTACAATCCTTAAACATTTCCCTCCATTAGCAAGATAGAGCTCGCCTTCAGTGGTCCATCCAGAGCCCGTGGAGGCAACAGCATACATTCATACATAAACACAAACGTGAATCACACTCTTGTCTTCAATAGCCAAACTGAACGGCGCACTGCGATTAATTTTTACGTAAGAGGCAAAAAAAAGGGACCTAGAGCAATTTATGAGGGAAAAATGCACATTTTGAGATCTAAAAGTAACGAAATGAAAACCGGTTCCTGTTTAAATGCATTTTCGTTCGCACACTTGCACCTCGACATGATAACCCCTAATACATGTGTACACATATATACATAGAGCTGTGCGCCCCCACAATTTATAATGCATCATTTCTGTATATGCCAAGAATAAAATCTTTCTAAATAAAATACATGTTTCTGCAAAGGATGGGCTGTTAGAGGGAATGTGGCGGGAGGGAGGGAGAGATGGATGCGGGCTGGGTTTTATCAGAAAGGGAAAGAGGAAGAGAGAAGGAGGGAAGGAAGGAAGGAAGGAAGGGGGAAAACGACGCTGTCCTCTACTGTGTGCTGGTCCCTTATAGGGTCATCGTCATCCCAAGCTGTGGCAGAATCTACGTTCCTCGTCCACAGTTCGTTTAGAGCAGGAAATAATAAAGAGATGTCTGTAAATCCACAATGGTGCCAGACGGTACAAATGGAAACACACTTGGAGCTCAAAGGGGCTCCGGTTCGCGTCCAGATGTCGAGCGATCCGGGAAAATGAGTCCAGTGGAACAGAAAAGAATGGGATGATGGGATAGAAGCAAGAGAGAGAAAGGTGGTGTTATAAAGGTGGAATGGAGCTGAGAAAGAAAAGAGGTAGAGGAAAAACAAAAGACCAATAGAGTATGAATGGAGACGAGAGGAGCGCATGAATCCATCTGGCAGTGAAGTCTGATGCAGCTGCTCATCCACTGGCTGGAGGATGACAACGGGAATGAGGGATGATGAGAAGACGAGTGCAGTTCCTCTCTTCCGACCTCTCTCTCTCTCTCCGGTGGGTGGGAACGGAGGGATGGTGGGAACTTGTGCTGGTCGCAGCAGCATCATACCTCCAGGAAGCGGGAGCTGCTGGACTTGGTGTGGAAGGGCTCGGACCACATGCGCCGCAGGTCCCCCTAAAAGACACAGACAGAATTACCACCGGTTCACACCAAGAGCGAGTCAAGTGATTAATACACATTCACATATTTATAAGCTTCTCTCTTCATGGCCAATGAGTCTTTTATTAAATAAAAAAATATTGTAGTAATGATAATAAACCGCAGTAATAAAAATGCCTATAAATGACTAAAAATAATAATTATAGTAGTTTACAACATTAAATTAAATTGTTGTTAACATGGAACCTGCAAGTAGTAATAGCAGTAGTAATAATAATAATAATAATAATAATAGTAGTAGTAGACAACATTTTAATATTTAATTTAATGTTGGCAAGATGAAACTCGCAAATGAGAGTAATAATAATAATAGTAGTAGTAGTAGTAGTAATGCTGGTACCATGGAACCCTCAAAAATGAGTAATAACAACAACAACAAAAACTTATTTTTGATACTATTATTAAATATTTTATCCTATTTTTACTTTTCAATTTTTTTCTTATACTTTTTTCATTGCATTTCATTTCTTTTGCATAATCTACATTGTTATTTATATGTTTTGTGCATGAAAATAAAATATGGACCCATTCAAAAATGAAATGGGTCAACACACACGCTATCCTTGTGGGGACTCTCCACAGGCGTAATGGCATTTATACTGTACAAACTGTATTTTCTATTGACCTAAACCTACCCCTTACAGGAAACGTTGTGCATTTTTAGATTTCAAAAAACTTCATTCTGTATGATTTACAAGCTTGTTTCCCCATAGGGACCTCAATTTAAGTCCCCACAGTGACACGAGTCCCCATGAGTCTGTGTCTCCATGAGTATATATAAATAAACATTTGTTGTTTAAATGGGTCCATTTTTTATTCACAAAAAATTTAAATAAAACAAACTTAATACAGGCTACTGCAATTCATTTTTTAATTAAAGTAAAAATAATATTTGAAAAAAAAAAAAAAGAATAGAGTAGGTCAGTAATTAGTTTTAATGCACACACTCACAAATTATTTGAATACAACTAAATAGATTTATGAAATGAAAATGTATAAGAAAGAATAATATTGTTCAAGTACAAATAGAATAAAAATCTAATAAAAGTTGTTACTTTTTTATTTTATCTTCCTTAGAAATATACAGTAGATAATACATTCCAATTAATAATATATTATAAATAAGTGAATAAAAAAATAATTTCCCATCTACTATACCTGGTCTGAAATGTGTTTGATAAGATGAATAAAGTGCATTGTTTAATTATTCTGTCTATGTGAACAGACTGATGCATGTGATAAAAACACAATGTCCCAGCATCCATCTTTCCTGCGCATTCATTTGATCTATTAGCAAAGCATTAAACTACACAATATCAGAGCTCACAAATATGAGATACAGTTAGGGATTATTACAGTAAATGTCAGCGGGTCTGCAGCAGCATTACAGGAAGTTACAGAGAACTGTGACATTTCACTCTGCACACTTTCATGTGTCACAGAGGTTTAACAGCTAGTCTTATAATATAGTTACAAGTAGTGGTTCAACGGATCACAAATCTCACGGTTCGGATCACATTACGGGTTTTGGCCCACGGATCGGATCTTTTTTCGGATCAGCAAGAAAAGAAATATTTCAATTTAACTTGATTTCCATTTATTACTTAAAGCGAAGTATTTCTTTGATACCACAGCAAATACTACTAGATTAACTAAGAAAGTTTAAACATGATTAAAGAGACAAGAGAACAGCCAGTAAAAATAAGAACAAATACACAAATTACAAGCATAGATAAATACAACAGAATATGTTACAAATAAAATAAGGTTGTTAGTATTCAAATACAGAAATGTAATAATTAGGGAACATAACACTGCATAGTGTTCACTGTATAAATTAAATATAGATTTTTATCATAACTGACTGTTTACCTGAATGATTGTCGAGATGGGTATTTTGTCATAATTTTGTGTGTATGTGACCGTTCAGAGGATTCGGTTCAGTGTTTGCACACCGTCTGAAACGCGTGTGTGCGGCTGTACGCGTAGAGAACAGCGCGCGAGTAACGAATCGAGTTCCCTTTCGCCTTTTCTCTCTGGAATCATTTAAAATGTGCTTGCTTGTGTAAATACGAACAAATTATAAACTTATACTCTATTATGGTTAAATTTTTGGGCTTGGTCTGTACGGAACACGGATCAACTACGATCCGTTTAACCACTAGTTACAAGAGGCTTGTGCAAACAAGTATTTATGCATCAATACTGTTCTTCTACAAAACAGTGCAAACCTGTGTAGATCTGTGCAGATAGAATTACGTCCTCATCTTGTTAACACCTATTCACACTTTTAATTTGCCAACAAGCACAAATCTTTATTTTGCCTCACCTTCTTTACTGGGTTGGCACAACCATTGAGATTGTTATTAACAGTCATAAATGGTTCAATGTAACGTTAAATTGTGCAGAAGTGCTGACGAAAACAGCAAAACGTGTGGCTGTGTTTACATCATCTATGATTACGTCTGTTCAATCCATGAAGGTCCCAACCATCCACACACAAGCCTCACGAGCAAACCATTCAACCAACAACAAAAGACCTTATTTATACTTTCATATTACAACTACACCAACCAGAATACAGGTCAACACAATTTAAACCACACAGCTACATGGAAAAACACACATTGTGGGAGCTTCATGTTTCAAAATATGGGTTTGGAATTTCATTTGCTAATCCTAATTTGCTTTTCCCCGTTTTATTTTTAGGCACAAACAATGTGCTTTAACAGATTTTAAAACACACCTTGTTGATGGTTATCACGTCCAACAAGTACTACAGCATACCTTGACACACACAAAAAAAAAGTGTTTCGAGACAATGCATGCCCAAAACGATTAAAATAACATCCTATATATTTGACTTGGCACGAACGTTTCCACAATCGTTCCACAATTGATCGTTTCTATGGAAAAGAGAGGCTGTTGCTATAGCGACGGCACTACTCCGAACTGATGAGATTATGTTACAACACATGCAGAACAAAACATCTGCCACAGTGAAAAGAAACCGGCGTACAATTAATGCTTCCATAAAAGGAATGCGAAGTACCCAAAGAGACGTACACAGGTGTGTGTGCGCTAGCACATAAATAATGTAGCGCAGCGTTACGCATCCAGCACACACCCTGCTCAAATAACCTGACAATGACTCTGTCGACTTCTGCATTCTGATCAATGAGGAAACCGGAGGCGTTGACACTGTTTTGACATTCCTAGAAATGAGGCCCTAGCCTCCCTGTGGATTCTGGTGTTGGTGCAAACAGACGCACCTTCAGGTAGGCCATGGTGAGCAGAGGCAGCAGGGTGAAGGGCACCAGGTACAGGAGGGCAGGCTGGGCCGCACGGTGAATACGAGAGGCCACGGTTGCGGTCAACAGACCTGAGACGGAAAAAGAGAGAGAGTCATCAAACAGCGCCACAGTCAATAATATTACATACAGTGCAAGTGTAGTCAGATTACAGAATGAATGTCTCTTGGGAGTCTTTTCAGTGAATCAAAAACAATCGGTTTACGATTTACTGTATATTGTTCTTAAGTAAATGTAGTTACTTGTGTGCGATACTGACAAAAAATAATATCTCAATATTTTCTGGGTTGTTATCGATAACGAGTGTGTTATTGTGCTGGTATCTTAAGGACTACCGTGGACAGCTGACTCCTGAAGTTTTTGATATTCTTCATATTCTGTGTGGTGGTCAGTTCACACTGATAGAAATGAATATTTTCCAGTAAGTTTAAACTGCTTTTTATATTTTATGGGCCTTTTTACCTTTATAAAACCTATATTACCTTTTTCTAAAAGTGTCCATTATGTTTTAAGTCAAACTCTTACATTTAATCAGTGAATTAGAATAAGACATTTGGGCTGTTACCAAGCAAATGAAATCAGTATCAACAAAATTAATCTTTGCAATGCAGAGAAAACACAGAAGCTGCATCTGAAGTGGCATTTAGATGTATTTACACACTGTTTAATGCAAGACATGAATGCATTTAACCTGCAATTACAAATGCATAAATTATGTTTTGATATTAAACAAAACATTGAATACTGATATTTGAAATTATTTAAATAATAAAAGATACTTTAAATGTGAAATTAAAACCGCCAGTAGGTGGCAGCAAGTCACTGCTAATAAGCGAGTCATTGCGATTGAACCGAATCATTTAAATGGTTGATTCATTCAGGAACAAAACACTGTCATGTTGCTCAGAGACGCAAAACAGCGCTGTGGCGGTGTTTGGAATTATTTTTGTTGGTGAAATAGAGCAAAAACAGGCAACATAGTGTCTAAAACTCAAGTCTCTTAATATTAACTTCTTTTTTTATTGAACAGTTGTATAGAATCAATATCACATTTGTAATCATGCTGATTTTTGGAGGAAAAACAGCACTCTTCTTGTGATATTGATTAACTATATGAAATTATATAAAGGCCCCATGCATATCTTGAATTTTGTGATGCATTTTAATAGACTGAATCATGCAGTGAAAGAACGCACTCTAAATGCGCGCGCACTAATCTAACCTCATAGACTTCACGTCATGTATGCGTGCACTCTCTGTAGGTGTGTTTTGTTTGGATTTTGCAATATACTCGTTAATGTCAAACCGCACATCGTAAAACAACAATTACGAAATGTGTAGATTCGGTGGCGAACGCTGTTACCTGCAAACTCTGTCCCACAGGCTTTACAGTGAATGCAGTGCATAGAACCATTTTCATAGCGGAGCCACTCGAAGTCTTTCAACCACTCTCTCCGAAAACTGTACGCCTTCTATTCGGCTGGTGGATCAACATTCACTACATGATCGCTATCACCATTATTTGTAACTTTAGGTGGTTCACAAAAGAAATCTGTCAGTGTTTCTTTTTTTATTTTCTCTCTTCTTCAGCCCCTTACATTCCCCACGGTAGTTAGCTCCCTGTCACCTGACAGCAGAAGTGACTGGGTGATTGACAGCTAATATTAACCAATCTAAAATCTGCATTAATGTTAAGAACGTAAAGATGAAGTTTAATTGGTTATGTAGCCTAACGTTTCATAGAACAGCAGACAGGTCATCGTATCAACACTCAGAAGGCACATACTCTGAACGTTTTTAAAGAAACGAAAACAGGTCGCACGACAACAATTATATGCACTCGCACAAATGCTCCCAAACATATTTTGAGGTCGCACAGATTAAATTTCGGGAGCATATGCAACCAAAATGGTCGCAATTTCAAGCCTTGATAGATAGATGGATAGACGGAACGACAGATAAAAAAACAATAGACAGGCAGATAAATGGAACAACAGACAGATCGAAAGAACGATAGATAGATGGATGGATGGAACGACAGACAGATTGAAAGAATAACAGACGGATAGATGAAATAACAGACAGATCGAAAGAATGATAGATAGACGGATAGATCGAACGACAGACAGATCGAAAGAACGACAGATAGATGTATAGATGGAACAACAAAGACAGACCAACTGATCGACAGAAAATTGAATACTGCCGTAAATCTTAACCACAAACCACCGTCTTAAATTGCAGAGTTTATTTGGATGATACTGTTGCGATACGCACCAACAAAGTAACCAATAAGGGTGCAGTGGAAGTAGGAAACCCGCTGCATGCGGCCGGACATGTTGACAGCACCGGGCACTTCTCCATTGGCCTGTTTCTTATAGTTGTCGTATCGGAGCACGAAGCACAGCAACAGGCCCGGCATGACGATATCACCGATGCCCAGCATGGAGAAGTGGCTGCCGGTGGAGCTGGGGAACACCAGCTTTCCGGGCAGGGAGAGGCGGGGGCCATCCCGGCCCAGATGCAGCTTGCGTGAGAGCACGTCGAGGGGGTTGTCGGCAGGCTGCGTGGCCACCTTCACCATCACGTTGCTGTTGAAGATGTAGGCGGAGAAGAAGACCTGCAGGAGATGAGGGAGATGAGTCAGAGGACAGACCAGCTTGCCCTGCTGTTTTAAGACACAGAGAGAGCGATGTCAGGCTTGTGTAAGCGTGTTTGGAGTGATTTGAGACACTGACGAAAATGTCTCGACAGTCAGCATGGGGGTGGGATGGGGAACACGTTTCTGAGTTGCAATTAAAATTATTTGATGTGATCTAGTGGACTGGCAACCAAAGTGTCACAGTAGGGATGTAACGGTATGAAAATTTCATATCACGATTATGGTGACCTAAGTTATCACGATTATCAATATTATCACGGTTTTGTTAAAATGAGATGAAAACGTTCAAAAAGAACTGATACACACACTGAAAACATTTCAATAAGTTTTATATTTGCAAATCAACAAATAACAAATACAATTAGCAGCTATATGCACTTATATACACACAATGTGATTTCCGTTTGTGATCATGTGATCTTCGGTTAGGAGACCTTGTGATGCTTTTAAAAGCAAAGTTGGGGTTGATTTCGAGTTCACATACAAACATAAATAGATTAGGCTAATTAAATTAGTCCATTTTAATGTAAGACAACATTTTTCGTCAGTGATAGAAATAAGATTTTAAGACGGTAGTGTAAGCAAGTTTAGTTTGAAAACGTTTAAAAGTAAATAAGACAATTAGACAATATTTGAATAAAATAATAATAATAATAAATATTTATTTGCAACAACTGAATGCTGCACGGACGCGCAGCATTGTAAAGATAACATTTGATCAGTCATTCCCTTCGCCAAGGGAGTTTCAAATGCTTATACGAGACCGTAATGCCCTGCACCCTTTAAAGAACACACTTCAAGGGCTCTGCCCTTCGAAGGGAGTAGGTCATAGGGATGCTCACTTCTGTTTGGAATTCGCCGCATGTCTCTTGTATCACTGCAGAGGCGCGGACGCGATCTCTCGTTTCATTCAAATGCAGCTTGCCGTCTTGCGCCTCAGTTTTTGATTGTATTGAAAATGAAATCTGAGGAATATATTATTAATACTAATATAATTTTGCTGTAGTGATCATATTGTCCTGACGATTGTTTTGTACACTGTTCATAATGGATTTATAAGATTTCAAAACATTAATCTCAATTCAATATTTCATATCCCCGTATTTATATATTATTTTAGGTAAACAAAAAAAAAATCGGTGTAATAAGTTAACTATGAATATACAATACATTATCCCTTAAATGTCAACCTTTTAGTTTGAACGTTCGTTCGTCTTGGCTCAAAGCCACGTGCTGCAAACTTTTCTTCGCGAAAGCTTTGCGTTAAACAAGTGAGATAACTAAATATTTAATCTCTAATCAATATTTTTTGTCCAATTATTTGCCCAGTTAGTTTTGGTATTGAGGTAAAAGTTACCTTGCATTCGCTATATAACAGTGGGTGGTGGTCACGAAGATGACTGAGCAAATTTGATGCGTTTCCCCCTTTTGCAGCGACTTTCTTCTTGCAAGATCGGCAGACAGGGTGACCGTCCTCGATTAAATTGCCTTCAGGACTCTTGTAAAAGCCAAAATATGACCAGACCACCGACTTGGTTCTCTTAAATGGATGAAAAATCTCCCGAGCGCTGTCACTGCCTTCTGCCATTTCCTCTCGTGCAAAAAAAAAAGAAGAAAACAACATTGCATGCTGCTTCTGCGTCAGACTGATGCCGGCTGGACAGGATTTACCACAAATTTTTTAAATCGCGATAATCAAAGATGGTTTTGATGACAATTACATTTTAAACAATAATACGAATCGTCAGGGCATTTTATCGTGATTTATCATGAAACTGGTAATCATTCAATCCCTATGTCACAGGTAGGGATGTAACGATTAACCGCAAACCGGTTGAAAATCGATTCAAATATGTGACGATTCAAATCGGTTGAGATGCTAAACAAATCGTGATTCATTTAGGTGTAGGAGTTTATATGAATGCATGTTTGAGGGGAACTTACTGTCTTTAGAAAAGTTTAGATGGTATTTTTTCTATTCATCTTGCCTCTGTATAATGCATATTAAAGTTCTTAAGTGCAGCGCTGCTTTGTTTACAGCGGAAACCAAGGAAATGCTTTAAGCGCCACCTGCTGGTAGAGAGTGCATCTGCTTCTCATTCAGCTCGTCTGCTGTTTCATGCAGATATTATGTATAGTTTCACAAAACTGAAGTCAAACCATTCTGTTTTTGCTTCAAATTTCGAAATTATACAATTTAATTTAGATTAAAAACTGCTCATGTTGCATGTATGCAGCATCTCTGCTTGGATCATGATTAAAATGCTGTGGTTGCCTCTGGAAAGAGCACAGACAAAGCCTTAGTTTGTTTATATGAAGAGATTTCTTTTATTTGTGTTACTTATTTGATTTGGGGCTCGTTTTAAAATTTCAATTTAGTTTTGTTATTTACATTTACATTATATTTAAGTGACTTACAAATGAGTACAATAGAAGCAATCAAAACCAACAAAAGAGCAGTAATATGCAAGTGCTATATTAGTATATTATTATAGTGTTATATTTCAATTTCACTAAGAAATGTGCAGCATTTTGTCCAAGCAATAATAAATGGACACATTTAATTTATAATTTGTCTTAAATCTCATTTTGTTAAATAAAATAAAATCGTGAATCGAATCGTGAAATAAAAATCGTGAATCTAATCGAATCGTGAGTTGAGTGAATTGTTACATCCCTAGTCACAGGTTTGCATTCAAATTCAACCCCAGACTGCTCCAGGTGCAGGGCTGGGACAAAAAAAATCGGCCCAGGCATTCTCCTTTTTAATGGTTAAATTACATTTTATTAATCAAAAAGCATGTCTAATTAATTAAAATCATAAAACGTGAACAATTTAACATCAATTTATTAAAAGTTTAACAAATTACGTTTAGGGCCCTATGAAATGTTTTATTTGTCCAACCTTATGTTTTATTGTAACCAAATTCTGTTTTAGCATGTCTAATTTGAAAGCATAAAACAAGTTTCATTTATTCTTACAATAGCCTTATGATTTTTTTGCTCAGAAATTCTGTGTTGTGTATTTACATTTTGTTTTAAGGCATAAAACATTCATTTAATCTATCTTTTAAGTAATGAAAATTAAACAAATTAAATTTTTTGGAAAATAAAGGTAATTTAATATTACAATTAAAACATTGAAGAAATATTGAATGCTTATTCCTTAAAAATAAGGTTTTAATAATTTTAGTAGTAGTAGTAGCAGTCTGTTACATACATTCTACTCAACAGTGGTAATATGTGAGTAACAGCCAATGCCCTCAAGTTAAACCGAACTTTTATTTTGACGGGTTGCCGTGAATACCATTACATTTCTGTGTGTATATGATATGAGGATAGTTTTACTGAAATGAAACGGTCAAATGCTGATGAAGTGACTCTCAGAGCAGTTCTGGAGATGTTGTTCATGTATTTATGTCCTCATTAGTGAGATGGCAGAGGTTAATACCACCGGAAGCGTCACGAGAGTTTCAGTACGAGTACTACACAACACTGCACGTCTGCGCCATTCATTACCACAGAGACACGCAGAATTCATATTTAAATATGAATGTGAGTGGGCTTGTGTGTGAGCGCGCGCATCGGGCAGAACTCCGCTGTGCATGATGCAGAGAGCGCGACCATAAGTAGAGACTGAAATGACATGCCGTCGTGTAAATAAGATAAATAACATAAGGCTATTTAGTTTGCTTAATGAAAGAACAAGGTATAGACATGTTCTATAAGAAAGGTAACTTTAAATGACTTCTGTTGTGATCTGGCACTATAGAGAAAATATAATTAAATAAAATTAACTTGACCTTCAAGGAGGGCGGGGGGTGCGGGCCGCCCCCCTAAAATAATGGCAGGGGAAACACTGCTATATATATATATACATACTATGGGTTAGATTGTCTCCACCTCTACTGAATGTATCCCGCCCCCTTAAAATGTATATAAACTACAATGTATTACTGCCTTAGTCAGACTTTTGATGACTGCAGCGCCACGCAGCAATAAAGAACTCTGCTGAAGATACCCAAGAGTCTCCTGGTTTCTGCTTCAACAAGGAAAAAGTTTCCCACAGCCCCCTTCCTGATTTCTAATTTTTTTGCATGTTTGTCACACTTTAATGTTTCAGATCATCAAACAAATTTAAATATTAGTAAAAGATAACACAAGTGAACACAACATGCAGTTTTTAAATGAAGGTTTTTATTATTAAGGGAAAACAAAATCCAAAACTGCATGGCCCTGTGTGAAAAAGTGTTTTCCCCCTAAACCTAATAACTGGTTGGGCCACCCTTAGCAGCAACAACTGCAATCAAGCGTTTGCGATAACTTGCAATGAGTCTGTTACAGCGCTGTGGAGGAATTTTAGTCCACTCATGTATGCAGAATTGTTGTAATTCAGCCACATTGGAGGGTTTTCGAGCATGAATTCCTTTTTAAGGTCATGCCACAGCATCTCAATAGGATTCAATAGGACTTTGACTAGGCCACTCCCAAGTCTTCATTTTGTTTTTCTTCAGCCATTCAGAGGTGGACTTGCTGGTGTGTTTTGGATCATTGTCCTGCTGCAGAACCCAAGTTCGTTTCAGCTTGAGGTCACGAACAGATGGCCGGACATTCTCCTTCAGGATTTTTTGGTAAACAGCAGAATTCATGGTTCCATTTATCACAGCAAGTCTTCCAGGTCCTGAAGCAGCAAAACAGCCCCAGACCATCACACTACCACCACCATATTTTACTGTTGGTATGATGTTCTTTTTCTGAAATGCAGTGTTACTTTTACGCCAGACGTAATGGGACACACACCTTCCAAAAAGTTCAACTTTTGTCTCGTCAGTCCACAGAGTATTTTCCCAAAAGTCTTGGGGATCATCAAGATGTTTTCTGGCAAAACTGAGACGAGCCTTTATGTTCTTTTTGCTCAGCAGTGGTTTTCGTCTTGGAACTCTGCCATGCAGACCATTTTTGCCCAGTCGTCGCTGTGCTCTTGGGGTAATTTTGGTCGGCCGGCCACTCCTGGGAAGGTTCTCCTTGGTTCCATGTTTTTGCCATTTGTGAATAATGGCTCTCACTGTGGTTCTTTACAATTTAATGAGCTGCAATTACATGTTTTATGGCACCAGCTGAGGGGAGTGCCATGGCAGTATATGATGACAACGTTAAATTGCGTTAATCTTAAATGGGCATGACTGCTTTAATTATTCGCACGTGAGAGTGACAAAAAACATGTAAGAATGTGAAAATAAAATGCAGAATGTTTTCTGAACAAGTCGAGACGAGGAAGAACTTTTTACCAAGCAAAGATTTGAATTCCTATAAAGTACCACTCTGAAAGCAATAAAGACTATGATGATGTAGGGCTGCATGATTAATTGAAATCAAACTAAAATAAATCGCAATATGGCTTGAAGAATTTAAGACATTAATAATTTCTTATTATTATATTATTTTATAGCAGCGGTTCTCAACTCTGGCTCTCGAGGTCCACATTCTTGCAAAGTTTAGCTCCAACCCTGATCAAAACCGGTAACTTTCTCGTGATCCTGAAGGCCTTGATGAGCTTGTTCAGGTGTGTTTGATTAGGCTTAGAGCTAAACTCTGCAGGAAAGTGGACCTCGGGGCCAGACCTGAGAACCCTTGATTTATAGCAATCTTGATATATAATCACAAAATTCTAAAGTGTTTTAAAGATTTGTATCAGAGAGAAAAAATAAAATAATTTAAATTCATATTCATATTTCCCCCCCAAAACCGTGTAGCCCTATGAAGGTGTGTATATATCACAACAAATTTAGTGTCAGGACTATCCAATTCATAATATTAGTTTTAGCATTTTGGGTCTCTTTTTTATTTTATTAAACTTACCTATGCCAGGTTTGTTTATGAATAATTATATTGTTTGGGTTGAATAGAATTAGTTCCAAATAAAAAATAGGGAATTAAATAACTAAATAAATATTTGTAACTTGAGATATTTACTGGATTACACAGAAATACACTAAAAATATTTTAATTAAAATAATAATAGCTATAATAATTTTATCTAAAAATCAGCCATTACCAATATATTTTTTTCCACCGAATAAAAAAAAGAAAAGAAAAAAAAAAAGCCCAAATGATATGTTTACAAAACAAATTTCAAGCACAAAGTTGCCATGAAGCTAAAGTAGTGACGGTAGTAGTGAAGTGGTGATCTTCTGTATTATGACAGTATTAATTTTGTCAGCCATTTTTAATTTAGTTTTAGTCCCGTGTCAAATGTACTTTTTAGTGATCATATTTAGTCAACCTTGTCCTGTTTGGTCAAGTTTTAGTCGACTAAATGTCTGAGCATTTTAGTCTAGTTTTATGGTTAAACTGATAAATTACTTTTGCTCAATTATAATCGCAATGAATTGTAATCGCACATTTCAGGTATTGCACATTCACCGATTAGCACAAATCAATAGAATGTGAATTCATACAGATGTTTATTTGACCTCATCTGTTCTGATTTTTTATAGGCTATTTACTATAATAAATTAACATCAAAGACTTATTCATGCACTCTCACTGTCTACATTATGAAAACAACCAAAAACCATAAAAGTGATCCTAATAGTAATTCCAATAATTCCAAAATGAAATAATGTTTCTCTATTAAAACAACAGCGGTTGAGTAAGTGCATTTAATCAGCAACCACCAAAAAATGTATCCTTTTAACAGAGAAGCTGTTATCTGGCAACCGCAAACACGAAAGCTTGTGTAGTAGAGACGTGTACAGCAGTCTGAATATTTTGTCGATTTCGTCGAAAACAAACAATTTTGGTATAGTTTAAAAAAAAATACATTTTAGTGTTGTCTTTTATTGTCAATGATATTGCAGATCTTATTGTCATCTCATTTTAGTCATGGGAAAAAAAGCTAGTCAACGAGCATTTTTCGTCATAGTTTTCGTTAACGAAATTAACACTTTTGACATACATCAAGAGTAAAAAAGTTAACTGAAAAAAAAGCTTGCATTTGATTATAAGAAATACATAAAAAAGCAAACTAAATTATATACATCACTAGAAAGAAGCCTGGCATTTTACAGCTAGATTGAGTTATGACATTTTAAATAGAAATTACGAGCTCAAAACGTATAATAAACACACACAAAAAACAAACAAATGCACAGGTGAATTGCTCACAGTAAGATCAATAACATGCATTTAGAATGTAGATAGATCTGTCGTGCCAACTTTAAGCAAAGGCCTTTAGATCAACGGGTTTTTAGGGCATACAAACATGTCTAAACCTTAGTACTGGTAGTGTATAAACGGTTACTGTGCCATTAAATCACACATGGCATGATATGAAGACTTGACTCCCATCCCTAGGAAGCAGTATGACTTGCTGCATTAATTGCTTACCCAGAACACATCATAGATGAGGAGGCCGGACAGCAGCAGGCACGACACCTTGAGACTAGGCAGTCGCACAAATGCGATCATGGCCACACAGAGACCCATGGCAAGAGCTGCAGGAGATAAAAACACACGATTCAGAGAAAAACACCACCACAACATAAGGTATGAGGTAAAGCAGAGGATGTGTTTACATTCTCTTCCTACACACAAACACCGAGTAACAGCATGCTGACGCACCGTCCATGAGCAGCCAGTGGCCCGTCATCACCCAGATGAGAACCAGCATGACAGAGAGGGAAAACGACAGCAGCTCCGCCAACGTGAAGCGGCCACAGCAGCCGAACGAGATCCTGGAGACAAGAGACACGCTGGCTCACATGCTGAATACACTAGCAAACACACGTCACTCGGCTGAGACATCAGGCTCTCTTTTTCACACCCCAGCATCTGATCCCTAACACTGTTGTCCATTAATACACAAGAGGATTGTTCCAAAGCAAACTGAACTGATTCTAGATTACATTGTGAGATTGAGTGAATCCGCAAGGCAAATCCCTGCCAACAAACAGGTTCATTGTCTGTGTCAAAAAGGTTATTTTAAAAGCCAATTTTAGAAGATTCTGAGCATTCTATCAGCCAATGAATATCTTTTAAGTGTTAATAACTTGGGTTGAGCCAAAAAGCTATGTAAAAAGATTTTTATATACACTGGGGTCCATATGTCTGAAACCACATAACGATTTTTCCCCCCCCATTTACACCATCTGGAAATAAAAAGTTTAGGATCTAAAATTTGGATGTAAATTTATGATTCAAATATTTCAGATTTTTGCTATTTCTAGGTCACTATTCAAACAAAAATGTGTGACATTGACTGTGTCCTAGGGCTGTCAAAATGGCTTAAAAACTAAATTCGAATTTTTTACTTAAATATTATCAATATTCGAATTATATTTTAATTTAAAAGTCAATTTCAGTTTGGGGGAAAAAAGCTGTTGGCTTCTCTCCTGAGGCCACAAGAGGGCGCATCCAGCAAAATATTATGCACGTTTCTTCAAAGCATAATAAAATAACACGACTATCTTTGCATAATGTTTAAAATAATGCATATAAATCATTTATAATTAATAAAGTTGCTTAAACAATTATATGTATAGTTTAATACAAAGGACCGAAAACCAATCACAAAGAGTACTTTCTTCATTTAAAAACTTGAGATGCAGTGGGATGGGGAAAACCGCCATAAAGTCTTAAGACATGCTTTTTAAAATTTGAACTTATTAATTTTACATAGCTTTCTAAACATCTTCTGCGAGACACAAGTGCAAAGATGATAGATGTCCCTCTAGAAAATGCGATAAATATGCATTCTGTGTGAACGACTTGGTTTCGGTTTTGACGTAAACAACATCTTCCCCGCATTGATTGTTCTCTTTTTCTGCAATATTTTGAATGAACAACGTAGCACCGCCTCATCTAGTGGGTTCAACTGGACAGGCTAACAAAAGCACTAAAATGCAATAACACTTACATCGTCGTCGCATTTCGTGCGCCACTGATAAGGCTGCCTGACGCACACCTACAATTAGACTGCAACGTTTTTGCATTCGAATGTGGATTTTTATTTTAAATTTGACAAATATTCGAAATTCGATTTTTTTTTACAGCCCTACTGTGTCCGCTTCTGACCAACCTAACAAATTAAAATAGTGGTCAAAAGAGGAGCCTTTATTTGTCCATAATAGTCCATACTTTGACATTTGTTACTGGAACAGGATCACAATATTGATTTTTGTAATTATGCAGTATTATATTATTTTAAGCAATTAATTTTATTATTATTTTAACAAAATAAAAAAAGTACACCGTCATAAGTTGGGAATGGGAAATGTATCCATATAATGATAAAAAGAAAAAAGAAAAAGAAAATAGTTACTGAATATTTTTTCAAAAAGAAAAACATAAAATAAGAATTTATCATCATTAAATGCTTTATATTCATATCCATATATATATATACATATATATATATATATATATGACAAATATAATAATAATAATATTTTATATTTATATTCACATTTTATTATTTATTAGTTCATTTTTAAAACATTATTATTATTTTTTATTTTTAAATGATTTATTATTTTTAATGTAATTCAAAAATTTTAATGAACTTTTTTTATTCAATTTAATAATAAAATGTTGGCATCAGCTGTTCATCATTAGACTTCATATACACTGAGGGACACAATTAACATTTCCTAAGTGAACGTAATGTAAGAACTCATGCAAGACACTGTTTGTTGACATATGAACTGAGGTAACTGCAGTTAACTGCAACTGCAAACCACCCTGACGAGTTTGTAAACATTTCATACTTGTTCTGTGGGGAGCAGGGCCTGGTCAGATACTGGCACATCGGCAGCAGGAGAAATGCAAACGCGATGGTCGCTAGAACTGTGAAAACAGAACAAAAACACAAATTACGTAAATATTACTCAAGCATATAACTAGGTCAGTGTGTGAGAAAGGAGCGGTGGAAGGTCACTGGTGTGTTTGCGTGCGGCACGTACCTGCAGTGCATATAGTGAACACCACCTGAACAGAGTCGAAGAAGAAAAACATGACGAGCAGAGACACTGAGGCTCCGATGGGCAAGAACAGCGCCTGTGTGGAATCTATGGTCTGAATACCTGTACAAATGCATGAGATGATTCAGCTTCTGTTCAGAAGAGCATACTAACCTACCTAGAATGCACATCACCATCTGTTTCTAGTGTGATTAATGAAGACGTAGTGATTCTAGCTGTTTTTAATCGCTTAGTTGAGGACTCACTGTTGTTAGAGTTGGCATTGTTGAAGGTGGTGGGGTTTCCATCCTTGTCCTTCTCCTGGTTCTCACAATCCATGTTTAATGACCTGTGTGGACAGACACAGTTTACCCACAAACCTCGATTTCTCTCCCCCATCAGTGAACCAACAGCAGGCAGAACTAGCATGGAGGAGTTTTACGCTTGATTCTATTGGTTTTGACAAGTCACAGACAGCATATATAATTTAAAGCGAATTAAAGATTGTGATGGACAGTCTTTTTAATATGTTGTACTGTTTTAGCCACATCTAACTTTCAAACTCCATGAGTATTAGATTTTGTCCACTTCAAATTTGGAAAGGCAAATGTTTCATTAGCTACAATCAACTACAAAATGCATAAAATGTATGACGCTGCAAATTACACTTCTGCACCTCAAAGATTAATTTTCTGTCACAACAAATTAATATAGGCCTATATCATCTGGAAAAACTACAATGCCCACTGATTCATTCAATAGATATTTGTACAAGACCCAGGGTAAAGATGCTTTTTTGCTGACCCAAGCCAGTACCTATTTTTTTTTTACCATCATGACAATATTTTCATTAGCTGCATCCCATAAAATGATATATTACACTTTTTATTTGTATCTCTCTTTTTACGTACCAGAAGAAAAAAATGAAAGAAGAAGAAAAAAAAAAAAAAGTAATTAAGGCTGGGCGATATGGCCCAAAATAATATAATATTTTTTCATATCAGTCGATACCGATAAATATCATGATAAATTTCAAATGTTTAAAGGCAGATTTTTGCTCCTAAGTGAAAGCTGTTGAAATCATACCATCAATCGTGGTTTTAAACTGTTCTTTATGGTCAGAACATGACAAACACTTCACATTTTTTGTACACTTTTCCAGTCATTTTCCCAGAACAAAATAAATATCTTAACAGAAATAATAACTTCCTAGTTTGTATCATGTTCTAATGAGTCATATAGTTTCAAATCATGAAACAGGTTTGTGTTGGCTGACTTTGATGACGCATATCTTCAGCACAGTTTGCAGTGCAGGCTGCAATACTAATATTATTACCTTTTTTATCTCTTAGAAATGCACAGTTGACAGTAATAGTAGCTTGACTAGATAAATTTGGAAACTAAACGTTACTGATTAGTTTATAATTATAAGCCATTCTTAACATTTCAACACAAGCTAATAACACCAGCCAGCTAAATAACTTGAGATATTTAGCGATACATTTTATGACATTCAATTCAACAATGCTCAGAACAATAACAGAATACCACATGATTATGTTTGTACATGTAAAACACTCACATGATCTACAAATACAAGATTCTGACACAACACAACACTGGTTCCAGGTCTGCAGCGGAAGAGATGAGAGCTTACCTGAAGCTGCCATAGACGATGAGAAGGATGGAGATGAGGAAGGTTGACACCTGGCTGGAGTCGACAAGGGAGTACACCCTGAAAAGACAAAGGAGGTTTCCAATTATTGTATGCCACAACAAAACAGCACAACGAAAGGTGTCAGGCCAGATATGTCGTACAACAGACACAAAGATAGTCACCCTGTACGACCCTTCCTGGTTCAAACTATTCACTCCCTTGTGAACTCAAGCCGTCAGTTATTGATGCAAGTGTGCGGGTGGAAACATGAATCAAAGCTCAGTCTGGTCCAGTTGTTACAGAGCAGTGTATGAGAAACGTCTTGAGTTACGGCATTCTCACCCTCCCCGAGCGTCTTTTGAGACCTGCGTTTGCCTTTTGTAAATAAGCTTTTAGAGAAAGAGGTCAGGCTGTATGCTGAGGTGACTCTTAAAATATGATTACAGTGAGCGAGCGACAGTTTGTTTGCTGAATAAATAATGTGCGGCTGCGAACAAAAGCGGACTTGACTGTGTGCATTTATTAAGTATGCATGAATAAGGAAAACGAGAGCAAGAATACCTTATCCTCAAACAACACTCTTTACTATGGACAACAAATGGCTTGAAGAAAAACTCATTAGCAGTCACACAGAAGCCTAACCTCGGCTCTGTACGTAATGATCCTGAAACACAGGACAGACCTATACAGGGCTCCAGACTAACATTTGAGAGTAGTGGCACTTGTGCCAAGCTCTACAGATCTCTAGTACCTTATTTGGTAACACTGAAAAAGTAATATTTATTAATAATAAAACTAACATTAATAATATTACGTTTTGTCTCTTGGAATTAGGGTTGGGTATCGTTTGAATTTTATCGATTCCGATTCTTATCAATTCCTAGTTTAGATTCCAATAAGATAAAAAATCCAATATAAAAAAATATTAAGTCAAAATTTAGATGTAAAAAGACAGAATAAATGTTTGACAAAGCATTGTTGCAGCTGAATAACACGAGCAAAAATCAGCAGCCTACGGAACACTGCAAGAGGAATTTTGCCTATGCTTAAAAAAAAATACCACAGCATTAACTACTAGATTAATATAAATTTCAAATATTAAAGTGTTAAAGACAAGTAAACAGTCAGTAATAAGATAGGAACAAACAAATCAATTAGCAATATCATAAATAAATACAACTGAACAAAATTTCAGGTACAGAAACTGTAATTAAAAGTTTAAAAACACTGCATAGTTTTCTTTTCATAAATAAAATATAGATTAATCAATTAAAGTTATTAAATATATTCAGTCAAGATCAGTGAATGATTTTCTTTTGTTCTTTGA